CAGTATATAATACATATATGTATAATTGTGCATTAATTTATTTACACCATGCTTGTAAGCATGTACATATAATATAGATATACATAGTACATTCAATCCTAATTCAACATAACTGTTCTACAACATGGATATCAAGCCCGTACTATTATTCCTTAATATTACATAGTACATATTATTATTGATTATACATAGCACATATGTTCTCAAAAGTTCTCAACTACATGCATGTCATCTAATAGTTTCCCTTGATTTGACTACCTCTGTGAAATCAGCCACCTACCCAATCCATGTCCCTCTTCTTGCTCTGGGCCCATGAAACTTGGGGATTTGTAGCCTGAAACTATAAATAGCATCTGGTTCTTACCTCAGGGCCATTAAACTAAGATGGCCCACATGTTCCCTTAAATAAGACATCTTAATGGACTTATGACTAATCAGCCCATGACTCACATAACTGTAGTGTCATGCATTTGGAATGGTGGTTAAGGTGCTGGATCCCACATGAACTCCACAATTTGAATCCCTGATCCAGCAGCTCAAAAAACATACCAGTGCATGTATGTGCATGCCCAAAATCCTGAGAGCAGAATGGAGGAGAAAGGATTATGGTGTGGCCATTCCCCCTAGGGGTAATTTCTCACTTTCCCTCTCTCTCTCTGTCTCAATCTATCTCTGTCTCTCTCTGGCTAGAGCATGTACCCTAGGGCAAAAATCTAAAAAACAAAACAAAAACAAACCAACCCATATATGGGCTGCTACAGTGGACTGTGCTCTATGCTACTCAACACAAAGGTTGAACAACACTAAGTTGTCTCCTGTCTTTGAGGAGCTCACACTCTAGCATGTAAATCAAACGAATAATGACAACAGAATTTAATAAGTGCCGTAACAGAGAAGGCACATGGTAAATGGTAAATGAAGGCAATTAAGGCCATAAAGACTAGTCTGCAGAGACATAATGCTTTGTGGGGAATCCAAAGGCAGGATAAACTGCAAAGCATCCTCTCCCGCCTGAAAAAAAATTCTTCTCTGAGCTTCAGTGACAACACCCTGCAACACCAAGTTTTTCTTTGTTCTCTACTGATCTTGTTCAGTTTCTCCTGAACAAAGTGGTAAATGTTGGCTTTCTCAGGTGTCTCTCAATGCATTCTCTCCCTAAGTGATCCCTTCATTGCCATGATAGTAAGTAGCACCTCATTATTGATGAATGCCCAGCCCAGCACTGTCTCTGAGCTCTGGACTTTTCTACCTGAATGCCCATGTCACAGGCATTTCAAAAATGTCAAATGTGAACTCTTCCTGTCATTCTCCTCCCACAGTCTCCTCCCTCTTAGTAAAGGTTATCATAGTCTACCTGGTTGCTCAAGCTAGAAACCTGTGAGTCATTCTTAACAACTCCTTTCCTTTATCACCCACATTCAACATATCACCAAGTGTGCTCTTGCTCTTGCTCTCCATACCCTCTCAGAACTCCATCCACTTCTCTCCATCCAGTTGCTACCATTGCAGCCCAAGCCCGTGTTAAGCATTCCCCTCATGATGGTGCCTAACTGAGCTTCTTTTCCATTTCACTCTCTTCTGGCTATTTTCCACACAGTTGTCATAGTGATCTTTAAAAGCACAAACCAGATCCAAACATCCTTCAGTGGATTGTGTTGACTTTAGGTTAAAATATACCAAATGTTTAATATGATGCTGTTTTGGGCCTGACATAGTTTCTGCCTCGTCTCCAACCCCTTCTCATGACATTTCCTCTTCTGTTCCAGTCACAAGAGTCTAGCTTTCCTTGCCTCAAGGCTGTTCCTTCTACAGGGAAAGGCCTTTGCTTGGCCATCTCCTACTTATGTGTTGGTTACCAGTTTACTGGTTATCAGTTTACTTCCTCATAGAAGCCTTTCTAAGCCTCCAATCTAAATTATATTCCTTCATTTTTTCCCCTTGCATAGTACCTTGTTTTTCTTTTTCTTGTAGACTGCTAGTTGATATTCCAAATCCATTCTGCCTTTCTTTTGGAGTAATAGAATTTAACTGGGTGTATGGCCACTAAGCTAAAGACTAAGTTCCTCTCTGCACCCAGATGTAGACATGTGACTAAGTTGTAGCAATGGGATATGAATGGACATGATGTGTGCAAATGCTAGACTTCCCTTGAGTGACTGTGTGCATACGCTCTGGGTCCCCTGTGCTGAAAGTGGTGAGACCCCCAGCAGTCATCCTGGAGCAGAGATAGAATATCTCTGTTATGTGGTTGTTGAGGCTATACTAACGATCGACATGTTAACTATCTTTGAAAAAAAAATTCTAACCCTTTTTAACTATTAGACTTTGGAATCTCTTTGTTACGGTTAAGGGGACTTTGGATGGGTTTTAGGAGCAAGGGGTGCTGGTAGCACATATGGGTGGTACAATATAAAGGTTGTCCCATGGTGTTGTACAACCCTGTTGCACTTCAAAGAAATGACACAGTCAGATTTTTTTATTTTTAAATTTTTTGAGAGAGAGCTTTTCTGCTATAGGGCGCATGTGCTCACCACAGAGATAGAGAGTGAGACATTGTCCTCCTTGGGGGAAAGCCATGCCACAATCCCTTCTCTTCCATTCTCCTCTCAGGATTTGGGCACACATGCACATGCAACCCAGCCTGAGTTTCAAGCCACTGGGTCCAGGACTCAAATTGTGGCCAACCATGGGGAGTCCAGTGTCTTAACTACTGCACTACCTGCTGGCCCCTTGGTCAGATGTTTTTAGAGATTACTTTAGGACTGGCTCTGTGGCACAGTGGTAATGTGCTGTCCAAGAGAAGTTAGATCTCACATGGTAACTGCAGTTCAAATCCCTGGTCAACCTGAAACATGCCAGGCATGCAAGCAAGTGCTCAAAATCTGGTGGACTGGAGGATTGGAGGAAGAAGATGATGGCATGGCCAAACCATGCAGAGGGTGCTCCTCTCTCTCCCCATGCATCCTATCATGAATAAAGGGAAAACAAATTTAAATGATGGTGCTGGTTTAAAAATGGAAAATTGGATGACAGGATACATTGGGACAGAGAAGATGAAAATAAAATGGTCATAAGGCAGAGGAAATATAACCTCAGAGACTAGGTTAACACAAAGATGGAGATTTTGAAAAGAATGAATTTCAGAGATATTGAAAATGTGTACTCAAGAGAGTTTACTCTCTGACTGGGTTTGTTGGCAGAGTCATATCCCCTAGAGATTCCCCTATCCTAACCCTAGGAACCTCTGAATATGCAATCTGCCATGGCAAGAGGGGCTTTGCAGACATGACTGAGTTAAAGGAAGTGGTTACTCTAGATTTTCAAGGACAGTCCAATGTAATCACAAGGGGCCTTATAAGAGGGAGGTGGGAGGTTCAGAGTCAGTAGAGGCGATCTGGGAATAAAGCCAGGTTAGTGTGGTGCACTTTGAAGATGGAGCCAAGGAATGTGAGCATCCTCTAGAAGAGAGAAAAAAAATGAAAAAAAAAAAAAAAGGATTATAGAAAGAATGCAGTCCTGCCATCCCCTTGATTTTAGACCACTAGTACCAGTTTTGGACTTCTGACATCCAGAATCTTAAGATAAGAAATGATTGTTGTTTTAACCCACTAAGGTTGCAGCAACGTTATAACAGCAATAGCAAACTGATATATTTGGTAAGGGGGTAAGGGTAAACAAAGGGAGCATTGGGTAAAAGGGTCTGTACCACTGGATGGATGGTGGTTTGGGAACCCCGAAGTATGAGTGTTTGGGGAGAGAGTAGAAGGCAAAGAAACATTGGTGTGGTACTTTGTGAGGCTGCAGTGCCTGTGACACAGTTTGTGGTACAGATAACTAGCTATCTCTACGGACCTGGCACTCAGCAGAGAAGCTGCCCCGAAAGGAGGGGTTTGGGACACCCTCAGATCTTCTGTGATTGAAGTCAAGGCAGTGAGTGAGAGCATTCAGAGAAGAATCTGCAAGAAGACAGGAAGGCCTCGAACAAACCCAAGAAGAGCCCAAATCTAGGTGGAGCATGCACAGGGAAGTGGCAGGAAAGAAGAGGAAAACCCAAGGCTTGTGAGGCACTGAAGTCAGAGGAGGGGCGGCAAGTGTCCAATGTTGCTGGTAGGTAGACGAAGAAGCGGGTGACACCACTTACATAGAAATCAATTTCCCTGCCCTCACATGTATGCATCAGTTTCCGCACTTGTAAGATGGGACAGTCACAGTACCTAACTGTATGGGCTTGTTATGAGGAGTCTAAGAATAATTGTATTGAGAGTGCTTGGATTGTGTTTGGCACATGGGAAGTTCTATGTAAGTATTAGCCAGTTTTGTTATTATTACCCTCTGTAATGTCTTTGTTTTCTTATATAAGAATAACTCAGGGCCAGCAGATGGTATGGAGTTAAGGCAGCTGGATCCCACATGGTCAATTGCATGATTTGAGTCCCAGATCCCGCAGCTTGAAAATATGCCAGGTGTGTGTACCTATGCACCCAAAATCTTTTCTTTCTTTCTTTTTTTTTTTTTTGAGAGGTTTTTGCTATAGGGCGTGTGCACTTGCCAGACAGACAGAGACAGAGAGACAGAAAGTGAGAAATCACCCCCCTGGGGGATGGCCACGCCACAGTCCTTTCTCCTCCATTCTCCTCTTGGGATCTTGGGCACACACATACATGTGCCTGGCGTAAGTTTAAGCCACTGGGCCTGGGACTCGAACTGCGGTCCACTACGTGGGAGTCCAGCGACATAGCCATTATGCTAACTGCTGGTCATCACCCAAAATCCTGAGAGGAGAATGGCAGAGAAGAGGTTTTGGTGTGGCCATATCCCTGGGGGGTGGTTTCTCAATTTCCTTCTCTCTGTCTCTCTCCAGTGAACATATATGCCCTCTAGCAAATGAAAAGAAAAAAAAAAATTCTGCCAAAGAAAATAAGAGAAACAAACATTGTAAGGAAAATAAATAAGATTAAAGTATTGGGTCATCAGAAAAGTCATGACAATTCATTTATTTCTGCTCGGGTCTTTATTTCCTTTCTCTTGGAGTTCTTTGGATTTTTCTGCTGTTGCTTGAAGCTGATTGACCTAAGGTTGTACAAACACAAGAGATGGGAGTTAGTGCCAGATGTGGAGTGTGTGGACAAGCGGGACCTAAGGAAGGACATTTGGAGGAGGGATACGGAGGCAGAGCATGCCGGGATGGGGAGGTGTGGTGTTATTGGTTGAAGATATTTTGAGCAACTGGACTGGGGAGAAATGTTCACATATTGAAATGTTCACTTTGTAAGCTAAATAATATGATTGAATGTATATAAAAAATTAAAATAAAAAAGAAAAGTCGTGACGCATTTTTGCATAGAAAAATCCATCATGACTTTTCCAACGAGCCATTATTAGTGTGTGAGATAAAGTAAGTCGTGCGAATATGAGCGGAACATGGAGAGGGAGGGTGGAAGGACCGAGCAGGCATCACGTGTTCTTGATACCCTAAATATTCATGAAGCACTCAATATTCAGTAAGTCTTACAACGACCACCCACTCGTGACACCCACACAAGCTGCACGCCTTCTCTTATAGAGCAAGTGTCTGCTGGCTCTGGCACCAGGCATCTTCTGTCTGCCAAATCCCTTCCCTTGTTCGGTCTCAGCTCTGATCCTTTGACCTATATCATTAGCAGGAAAAAAAAAAAAAGCGATGCAGAGCAAGAGAAGGTGGGGATGAGAGTATCTATGCACTTGCATACAATATACCCCATACGTATACCCTATCCTAAATGTTTGCTTGCCCTCTGAGTTTCCTTGGCTTCTCCCTGTGAGTTTTAAATTGCTTCAGTAAGCCATGGGATTTCAGCATCTCAGTTTCTCTGTGAGCCTTTCTGTGCAATGACCTCTGGGATAATCTGGCTGGCTATGCCTGTGGAGGCTAATTTCCCATATCACACCCATGGGTTAGCTTGTACAGGGTAGAAAATGGGAAAGGCGTGGCAGGTCACTTTTTAAAATACATATGTGTAACTTCTCCTTTGTTATATTGATTTCTATTAAAAAATTAAAACCAATTTAAATGTTATGTTTAGGATGTGCATGAGTTAGAACCTGCCCTACCAAGGTTAATAAAAGAAGAAAAGCTTGCCCAGCCAAGGTAGAAGAACTACAGTTTCTCCTGTGTTGATCCTTGAGGCTGCCGGGTCCTGTACCAAGCAGAAAAAAAAAAAAAAAAAAAGAAAAAAGAAAACAGCTTTAATCTCTAGGATGATTCAGCTTCACTGCTCAACATAGAGCTGCTTTGGAAGGTCAAGAACTCCCCTCTTGTCCCTCAAGTTCCTTCTGCTCTCATTCCCCCTCTTTCATAGGCAGGAAAGAGCCAGAACCACATTAGACTTGGAGTGTGTTCATTTTCTGTTTTTTTTTTTTTTTTTTTTTTTTTTTTTTTTTTTTTTTTTTTTACTGCTGCCTCTGTAAGAGGAATGATAATCCTGACAGTTATCATATGAGCTCTTCAATATCAAATAGTAGTAGGGAGCAGCTGTCTCCAGGACATACCAGACCTTGATCTACTATTCTGAGTCTAACCACCAACCTCATCTCTTTATTTGAAATACCAGCACGCCCCCCCCCCTTTTTTTTGCTTTTATGTGTCAATATTGCAAGTGGATTTATCATGAAGCTAATGTAGCTTAAGTTTCAGAGACCCTTCATAGATTCAGGAAGGTGCCCTAGCAACTTTGCAATTGTTTCATTCTTCCTAAAGCAGGACTCCACATTCTGAAGCTTCAGGGACTATAAAATTCTCAATAATCAGATTTCATGGTTAAGAGCTTAAACCCTGGAGATAGCAAGAAAAGCCGCCTGTTTTCCCTTTCACTGTTAGTAACTTTGGACCGGTTACCTTAGCTTTCCGCCTTGTTATCCTCAGTGGTAAAATGAGAACACATTACCTACACCCTTAAGGTTATGATAAGGCCTGAAGAGAGCGGAATGCTTACACAGTGCTTCGTATACAATGAAATGTTCATAAATGTTAACCACCACTATTACTGTAGCTGTTGCCAGAACAAAACCAACAACCTCCTTGAGAATAGGGTCTAGTGTCTGTCTTCCAGAGCTGAACACAGGCACACACAAATACTGGCCCAAGGAATACTTTACAGTCAGTTCCACTCTCCCCACCCTCTGCGTGCTGAACCAGAAATACAACTTCGTTACACTCTTGGTGCGACATACATGGATATTTCCACAGCAAGGCCGCACTTTGGGAAAGGTGCTCTAATCTAGGTGGCGTCCAGGTTCCCCTTGAGTCCTGGTCATCTGTCCGGAATTAACTGAGGGTGTCTACCTGGGCTGTAACCAGAGTCACTGAGATATGCATTAGCAGCGTTAGCACTGTGGCTGGCATTTAATACACGCTCATTAAAGGATGGCTAGTAATACAGTCCCCAGACCAGGAATCCTCTATCCCTCCCGCCCCCCATTGCCCCGTCTGCTTCACCCTTCTCATGCCCTGCCCCGGGGCCTGGCCTGTATTATTTGCCTGGCGGTGGTGTGTGTGTGGGGGGGATTGGTTCTCAACTGGGAGCCGGTGTGTGTGTGTGTGTGTGGGTGGGTGG